CGGAACTGTTTCATGCACTATTAAGGTCTTAAATGATGGTTATTTCGAAAAATTAGTGGCACCGGACTTTTTGTGTTATTAGCACCGGACTTTTTGTGCGCAAATGAATATGGAGACTCCTATCTTCTCAGTCAGTCTATGTGTTTACTCCGCCTGGGTTAATCACCTCTTACTTTATACATTAATCACACATCAAGCAATGATATATTTTATTAATCCACAAACAAATGTGTGGGATTCTATCAGTATCTCGTCCTCATAGCAGGAATTTAAGGTTTCTAGTCCATATAATTATGACGTCTGGGAAGGCAATTCTAAATTTTTGCCTTGACGCCCTTCTGCGACGATGTAAGGCGTCAAAGAAAGAAAAAAAATATAATAAATAGCCTTTCAAGACGTCATAATTATGGTACGGCCTTCAACAATGAGCATAGTCAGCAATAAAAGGCCCCGAAATGACAATGTAAAACAATTCAAACGAAAAACTTTTTAACGGCCTTATTTATATAAAAAAATGAACGAAAATAAAATGTGTAACACATAAACAAACGACAACCTCTGAATTACAGGCTCCTGACTTGGGGCAGGCACATACATACATAATGTAGCGGGGTTAAACATCACGGTTAGCGGGATCCCAACCCTCCTCCTAACCTGGGACAGTGGTAGAACAGTCCAACATAAGAATGAACTATACAAATCAGTTGAAAAAGGCTTAACTCATCAGATGGACAAAAATACAAGTGAACGTGGCCGGGTACTTGTACATCCCAACAACAAAAAGACACTAGGAACAGATCTGCGAGTACTCGCAGTTAACTGACAACTAGTTCAAAGCCACTAACAACTAATAAAACAATCATGCATCTAAGACTAAAAAGGTTAATAATTTAGGTCGTCACAGTTATTCATCGGCTCCATCAACAATTGTTTTTCATGACTGAAACATAAAGCTTCACTCATACATGCATCATTATGAATACGTCGAAAGAAGACTTGGTATGAATATATATATTTAGATATATGAATCATGTAACGTCAAATAGGCTAAAATTGAATTGAATGTTGCTGATTGTTTTTTAACATCCTTGCCCTTGGCCTTGCATTTAAACGAGAGACATTAATATTAACCTGTCTTTTCTATTACGCCGGAATGAATGTGTCTTTTCGAAACATCCATCAATAGACCTGCACATGTTAATCTGGGAAAGAGCAGAAATAAAAGCCTTATTCCTTTACCATTTGTGTTTTGTTTGGCATTGCATATGATATTACCCCATACCGGTGTACTTTTACTCAATGTCCCTTTATTTTCTATCATAATGTAAAAATCAAGATTGAAAAAAACACTTGTCCGTGATAAGTTCCAGACTTTTATATTCTAGCACAAGATGTCAAATGTTTTTTTTTTCATTTCCAAAAAAAACCAAAAAATACGAATACATCATTTTTTACCCTGTTAAAACAATAAAAACACAAAAAGTCCTTTGCTCAATAAACCCCAACAGTTCCTTGCCAAAAAACACGTCATTTTAGGGAAACCCGATTAGTTCGCTGCCAAGCAATTTTGAAAAAGCTTTAATATATGATATTTTTTTGTTTTTGAATGCACACAAGTGGTTCTAATATGTATTTTGCATGAAATAAAGGAGCACAAAAAGTCCACATTCTAATATACTGTGTATTTGAACGGAAACCACACCACTAGTAGCTGTGTTCGGCCGGTTGTCCTGTTTAGTGTGGAGCTCTTTGAAAAAGCCAAGAGTGATACCGAAGCAAAATGAAAAATTTTGCAAACTTAGATCATCTGTGCCTTCCGTGATCATATAAACATAAACACTAACGACTTCTGTTCGTCTATTTGGCTCATTTTGTGTCACACTGCATGTCTGGAAACAAAACGCGATAAGTCCGTTGCCGAACCCGATTAGTGCGGAAACGCCGACAAAACCCCGACAAGTCCGTTACCATTCTACACCGTGTTTTACGAACCTAGAAAATAAATCGACCTGAAGAACGCACAAAACTTTAATCCTCGTACCTATGATGAGTTTATTTAGAGCCATATGCATGCGATCTTTACAAGCAAATTGTGTTATCACGTGAAATTTTTTTTAACGTTAATCGAGCTTATACATTAAATATTTATTCACGTGAATTGAGTCTTCACATGCAATTTTTCACATGAATGGAGGTAAAATATATTAAGACTTAATAATATTAATTTCATGTGAGTTGAGCAAACTTTAGACATAACGTAAATGCTTATTTAGTACACACATTCGCTGTTATATATACTGGAATGTCTTATCTTTAGACCTCTAGTATATGATTCTTCTTCAAATTTTTAAATACCTTTAATTGTTGGTAGTCCATAATGTACGTTGTACTAAATTGTGTATAAACATGCAACACTAAGTGCACTGTATTATGACTTCCTTGGTACTAAACTTTCCATTAGTCCTGTACATAAATATATGTATATATTATATCATACAACCCAACTAAAGTGCAACAGTTGAAAGACTTATGGCAGGTTTTTTTTTCAAAATATAGGGAACATATAAAAGTATATTAATTTCTATATGTCCCTAAAAAAAATATCCTTCAAAGTGAGAAATAATAATGAAAACTATTATATTGATCAATTCCTGTAAAACTGTCTATTGCCATCATATATGTATTTGCATTTTAAGAATAATCAATAACAATCAATCTAAAAATTAAGAATCTAATGTAATTTAAGACAGAAAATTTTAAGTACAAAAATTGATAAAAGTGTTGGCAAAGTTTTTAAATACGTCCATGTTCATCTGTCTTGTCTCGTCTTGTCTCTATCTTTACTTCAAAATAAACAATGTATAGAAATCGTTACATCCTCTCTGATTCTTTCTTTCTTGACAGTAAACAAAAAAATGTATAATCAAACACATGTTCTAGAAAATAAAAGTATTTCATAAACAAAATATTGAACTTCCACAAGACAGTCACCATTACAAACCAAAAGTCCACTGGACAAGGTCAGTGAAAATGTAGTAGTCGAGCAACAGTCAAAAGCTGTATTATGAGGTTTAAGTATATTTTTTTTATAAAGACTGTTATCAACATTGCTGGTACAATAAAAGTGACTGTGTCCAACATTTTCCGACCATAACGCTCCATGTGAAGGTATAATGAATTTGATGCCTACCTATGTTCAAATGAGCATTGCGCATGGAAGAAACATGTCGACATTAGTGCTCATAGATTGATACCAACAACACTAATAAAAAGTGTTGTTTCAGCACACTTATATACAAAATTACATCTTGTAACCAAGTTTTAGATACAGGTAGAATAAGTTAAATATTTATAACATACTTATTATTGTATTTTTCAATTCTTTTCTTCTATCTCTCTAGAGCCTCCTCCATTTGTCCTCAGCTATCATCCAAGATATTATATACTCCGTATGCATGCGCTGCTGGAATGTTGCTACATAAAAATGGAAAGTTCACAATTGGGAGGCTGAAATCATGTTTTTTGTCATAAAGTTTTGTTTTCAACCGACCCTCATTGCCAATTTCTAGATGTAAGTCAAGATATGAGGCAGACTTAACTTTATCTGTTGTATCCTTTATCTCAAGTTCGATGGGATAGATGCGTTCAACATAGTCACCAAATTTTGAATTATTTAGTGAAAGAACATCATCTATGTAGCGGAAAGTAAAGTTAAAGGATACTGCTGACTTTTCTTTCTTCCTAAGAAGTTTCTGTATGAAGTCAGCCTCATATGAGTAAAGGAACAAGTCAGCAAGAAGAGGGGCGCAGTTGGTTGTGCCGATTGTTTGTTGAAAAACACGTCCTCCAAACGAAAGAAATATGTTGTTAATCAAAAAATCAAGCATCTTGATACTGTCAGGTTTCAGTGAATTTTCTGTTAGAATCAGTGATTTTTTACAAATTAGAATTTATCCCTCCCTAAGACAGGATACTTGTATCTACGTTATCCATTATTTTTTATGAAACAAAGCAGGACCAACTCTTTCAATTTGTCTTTTAGTTTCGAATGGGGAATACTTGTGTAAACTAGAAAAATCAAATGTTTTAATAATATTGCAAGATGAAAGAGTCTTGGATTGTATGTACTCTAAAAGATCTTTGGAATTTTTTAGTATCCACATCTGATTCACGCCACCTCTAGAATAGGTGGTTTCACAATAAGTTTGAAGCCCGGCTTTGATTGCTGATAAAATTGATGTATATATTTAGAAATAGGTTTCGTAGAGCACTTGGAAGACCACGATATACCGTTGTTTGTAAGAACACTTATGTAGTTTAGGTATCCAATACAGTGATGGAAGATCCAGTTCTTCATCTTTGGTCATGTTATTCTCTTGACTGTTACTACGTCTTTATACTAAATCCATTGGATGTCGGATGTGTGCTGATTAATATTTAGTCTTAGATACACGATTTTTTTATTAGCTGTTATTGGCTTTGAACTAGCTGTCAGTAACTGCGAGTACTCTCAGATCTGTACTTGGTGTGTTTTAGTTGTAGGGATGAATAAATATCCGGTCTGTGTTTTTGTTACTTGTTTTATACGCCCGTTTACGGGACGTATTATGGTATTCCGTTGTCCGTCCGTATGTCAGTTCGTCGTCAACATGTCGGACAATAACTCAAAAACGCTTTAACCAATTTGCATGAAACTTTGTGAATTGTTTATATCTATTGACGTGAGCTCCCTTTCGATTTTTATAAATTTTGGATTGTAAGTTTCCGAGTTATGGGGTTTTATTCATTAACAAAAGGTCGGTGTTCCAGTTTTCGGACAATAACTCAAAAATGCTTTGAGCAGTTTTCATGAAACTTTGGTGATTTTTTTTATATCTATTGATGTGAGCTCCCTTTCGATATTTATAAATTTTAGATTTTACGTTTACAAATTATGGGGTTTTATTCATTACAAAAGGGGGATTTTCCAGTTTTCGGACAATGACTCAATTAAAGAACCTTAGTGAGCGCGCTCACATACCCCACGTCCCCACATTGTCATTGGAGAAATAAAATATGTGTAAGAAAAAAAAATTGTATAAGAAAAAAAAATGAATCATAATTTCCTGTCAATATGCACATGTACATAGTATGTCCTTATTATCTACAAAGTTTCATGAAATTCTGTTGTGTGGTTTCAGAGGAGTTGCGATGACAAACTGTTGCAGTAGTGCATTGAAGCAAATAAGTTCAAAGGGGCGTAACTCCTAGAAAAAAATTTGAACCGTAATTTCCTGTCGATATGCACATCTACATAGTATGTCCTTATTATCTAAAAAGGTTTCATGAAATTATGTTGTGTGGTATCAGAGGAGTTGCGATGACAAACTGTTGCATTAGTACATTGAAGCAAATAAGTTCAAAGGGGCGTAACTCCTAGAAAAAAAATTGAACCGTAATTTCCTGTCGATATGCACATCTACATAGTATGTCCTTATTATCTAAAAAGGTTTCATGAAATTATGTTGTGTGGTATCAGAGGAGTTGCGATGACAAACTGTTGCAGTAGTACATTGAAGCAAATAAGTTCAAAGGGGCGTAACTCCTAGAAAAAAAATTGAACCGTAATTTCCTGTCGATATGCACATCTACATAGTATGTCCTTATTATCTAAAAAGGTTTCATGAAATTCTGTTGTGTGGTATCAGAGGAGTTGCGATGACAAACTGTTGCAGTAGTACATTGAAGCAAATAAGTTCAAAGGGGCGTAACTCCTAGAAAAAAAATTGAACCGTAATTTCCTGTCGATATGCACATCTACATAGTATGTCCTTATTATCTAAAAAGGTTTCATGAAATTCTGTTGTGTGGTATCAGAGGAGTTGCGATGACAAACTGTTGCAGTAGTACATTGAAGCAAATAAGTTCAAAGGGGCGTAACTCCTAGAAAAAAAAATTGAACCGTAATTTCCTGTCGATATGCACATCTACATAGTATGTCCTTATTATCTAAAAAGGTTTCATGAAATTCTGTCGTGTGGTATCAGAGGAGTTGCGATGACAAACTGTTGCAGTAGTACATTGAAACAAATAAGTTCAAAGGGGCGTAACTCCTAGAAAAAAAATTGAACCGTAATTTCCTGTCGATATGCACATCTACATAGTATGTCCTTATTATCTAAAAAGGTTTCATGAAATTATGTTGTGTGGTATCAGAGGAGTTGCGATGACAAACTGTTGCAGTAGTACATTGAAGCAAATAAGTTCAAAGGGGCGTAACTCCTAGAAAAAAATTGAATCGCAATTTCCTGTCGATATGCACAACTACAGAGTATGTCCTTATTATCTAAAAAGGTTTCGTGAAATTCTGTTGTGTGGTTTGAGAGGAGTTGCGATGACAAGAAACAGGACTGACGGACTGACGGACTGACAGACGGACGGACGGACGGGTCAAAAACCTTATACCCTCCGCAACTCGTTGCGTGGGGTATAAAAACGCTTTAACCAATTTGCATGAAACGTTGGTGAATTGTTTATATCTATTGACGTGAGCTCCCTTTCGATTTTTATAAGTTTTAGATTTTACGTTTCTGAGTTATGGGGTTTTATTCATTAAAAAGGGGGATTTTCCAGTTTTCGGACAATAACTCAAAAGTTCTTTGAGCAGTTTTCATGAAATTTTGGTGACTGGTTTATATTTATTTAAATATTCTCCCTTTAGTTTTTTTTATAATTTTCTGATATGACATTGAGGAGTTATGGAACTTTATTCTTGTTAAAGCGACGGGCGTATCACGCGCTCATTTGGGCAGCTCTTTATTCTGCTTTGTATCAATCTAATGATTAAAGCCCTATTCAACTGATTAATATAGTTTGTTCACATGTTGTACTGTTACACCACTGTCCCAGGTAAGGGGATGGTTGGGCGCCCGCTAACATGTGTAACCCCTCCACATTATGTATGTGCCTGTCCAAAGTCAAGAGACAGTAATTCGTTTGTTGCTGTATATCATATTTCTATTTCGTTAATTTTTTTTAACATAAATTAGGCCATTAGTTTTCTTGTTTGAATTGTTTTACATTTGTCAATTCGGGGCCTTTTATTGCTGACTATGCGGTATGGGTTTTGATTATTGTTGAAGGCCTTACGTTGACCTATAGTTGATTTGTCTCTGGTGGAGGGTTGTCTCATTGGCAGTTACACCACATCTTATTTTTATGAAACTATTTTTATGCATACAAAACGTTGTGATCGTTCTTTGGTTGTATGAATAAAGTCGCGTGCATCTCATTGATAAATTGACGCGGAAGGACATGAACGCGTGATGTTGCTGCACTGGTTCGTGACGTCATTGCCTAATAATTTAGAGTATCAGGTTCTGTCTGTGATATAGATAAATATTAGGCAGTAAGTTCAAAGGGAAAATGTACAAATTCCCGATAAAATGAAACATTTGTTCTAACCACATATGTGTTTTACTTGTCTCTGTTCTCTTTTACGCGACTTTTCACCCTAACTTTACTTTACTTGAAATGAAATTATTAACATTGCGGGTGACACAAGTGTAGTAAAAACTGCTCTAACTTCCGGACCACCAAAGTTATCTCCTGCTTTTGGTGATGTTTGTTTATTCACATACAAGTGTTCTGTGGAGTCTTTTTTTTTTTTGCATTTTTGTGGGTTTTTTTCTGTCCCCTTGGTATCTTCTCACTTTTCTGAGGGAACACAGATAATGTACAAGGCCAATTTGTAGTTTTCTTTATTGTTATTTGATATCCGTTATAAATTGATACAATTTATGTGGTAGACGCTTCTATTTTTACTCCTCTCGGGGGTTTCCTATTGTTTATATGTACAACGTCCTCTCCATATTCCTTTAAGCAATCTAAAATGACTTATTCCTTACGTTGTACAATCCGTCGGACACTTCCTGTGTCCCGATCCCAGCCGGGTCTGACCGTTGTATAAAGACAACCATCTCCGACGTACCGGGGATAGCCAGGATAATTGCGTCAGTGTGACGCCAACTAGACAAATGTGGACTTTTAGAACGTGACATTTAACAAGAACAACAAACTTAACACTGGTAAGAACGTCTACCATGATTATGGATGAATCTTGTTACATTTTGATAATTTATAGTGTTTTTCTTTGTTGAAATAGTTATTTATTTGTATAATGAGTAAGATTATATTACAATGTTGACTACTGAACCCCTATTTTTGACCTTTTTACCTATTATGTCTGGGTTTTTTTTGCTCACACATTGTCAATATAATGGAATTCTATGCGACTGTCATACAAGTGAGAGGTTTAGCTAGCTATAAAACCAGGTTTAATTCACCATTTCCTACATTAAGAAATAACTGTACCAAGTCAGGAATATGACAGTTGATTTCCATTTGTTTGATGTGTTTGAGCTTTGGATTTTGCTATTTTAGAAAGCACTTTCCGTTTTGAATATCCCTTGGCGCGGTATTTTTTTATTTTACTTTTTACACAATTTATTGAATGAGTTGTCATGTAAAGGATTTCTTAAATCAATCAACTATCCTAGTCACCAGGGAAGATATTGATTCCTACGGGAGTACGACAAAATGACACACTGACACAAAAAAAAAGTAAAATAACAAAAATACCGAACTCCGAGGAAAATTCTAAACGGAAAGTCCCTTATCAAATGGCAAAATCGAAAGCTCAAACACATCAAACGAATGGATAACAACTGTCATATTCCTGACTTGGTACAGGCATTTTCTAATGTAGAAAATGGTGGATTAAACCTGGTTTAAGGATCACTTTGTTTATTTACATTCACTCTCGTTACATTGGGGGCTTGTCCGAAGGATATTTTGAATAATTTCAATCATAATAGGATAAGTTTGAATAAATTTCAATACGTTTTAAGCATTTTGTATCTGCACAAAACAGATGTTCACTCCAAGTTTCATTTCCGAAACCGTAACAGAAAACACGGAGGAACAAGTACAAAAGGTCTCAAATAAAATAACAAATACAAATGGAAACAAAGACTTACCTATTGGTATAACATGGTCTGATACTTATGTCCATAAAGGTAATAGTTAAGCATGTCCAAATAACACTGATTTCAGTCTACGTGTGGATAGCTGTCTTCAGTGGGGGAACATATGGGATTTTATATTGGCCTTTTTGCCGATAAGTTGAACATTTGAACGTAACTTAACCACATCCAATTATCTGTTCAGTCTACTTCTTCGACTACTGCACAGATTTGGAAAAATCTACTAGATGATCTTTACCTTATTTGGATGCCACAGTGCTTTACCTACATGGAACCTTGGACAAGACGTGTTCCTGGATGACCAAACTCTATACAGTAGGATTCCTTATTCCATGATGATGTCTTGTGATGTTATTAATATAAAGGTGTGTATTACCTTACTCTTTGTTTGGGCCCTAAAGTCCACCATTTTCCTTGCACTTAACCTCAGCTCATGGCGGAGCACTTCTTGTTCATCATACTCTGGAGCAAATCCACTCCTCAGATTTAAAATTTTACTCTTCAATATAAATTTTAAATAGATAGTAAATAAAATATCAATAACTTAAAGGCTCCTAAGAGCTATTATCGCTCACCTGGCACTTTTTCGCACATAAGTTTTCCCCTATGTCAATTGTAGACTGGTTCTCAACTGAACAAAATGGACTGCTGCTCATCCAAATTAAGCATGATTACTTGAAATTGATTTATGGATGTTTTTACAATTTTTTTTAAAACAAATTGATATCAAAAGTTTTTTTAATTTATGTTCCTGATGACGGTAAATCCAGCAAAGCGCTTCGGACGCATGGAATTATTTAACGTGCTGTTTTCATTTTTAAAATTTGAAAGAAAATAAAGATTAAACATTGTTACATGCACATAAAAATTTTCTCTTTTCAGTAGCTCTTCAATGTCAATGAAAATGCCACACTATTTGTTTGGGAAACAACTAATTCAAATGAGTATCGTTATCAACCAAAACTTAACCTGTCTTGTTTGGTCCAAAAACGTTCTATTTAAACTTGAATCATTTTGAAAAAGAGGTTTTCCATTTATTATCCGGTAATTTTTTTTTTTTGCATAGGCCATTTCCTTACATTTTAGTGACAATATTATGTTGCGAGACTAGTATTGATTACAAATAATATCTCAGATAATCTATTTATCCTGCATATTGAGATAAAAAGATTGAAATCTAATGTAGAAGATTATCCAAAATCATGAATTTATAAATTATGATTTAAACAAAATTAATAAATTGAGTATATTCTAGTCAGAAGTAAAAAATTACAGCAAATGAATCAATGTTACAGACCGTTTCTTAAAAATAAGTTGTAAATCATAAACATGGATCCTTTAAAAAAATACTGTATAGGGATTTGCTTCGGAAATAAATAATCTTGTAAATTGACTTTTTTTAAATTGTTTATTTTAATTCAGTATCAGGATCTGCGAGAACAGGATTTCTTGAAAATCTCCATTTTAAGTAGTCATTTAAGGGTCTCTAAATTGAAGAAAACATTATGTCCATGTATAAATTTGTAGTCTTTTAAAGGGATTTATGTTTGTCCCTTCATTTGGTTTTTTTTCCTGGGTTTGCCAGAAATATGTTCAAATTATGCCTTTATGGATTTGGAGATCATGACGATAATAAATTTAATGGAACCCAAAATGTTGATACTTTTTACGATTTTATTCATTGCTTATTATGTCCTATACAACTTTTGTAATATTGATGTTAAGTATATTACTTAACAAATTCGCTTTAATTAGTAACCGTTTTTTTTATAAAACTGCAAAAAGAATTTTATATTTTTTTCACCGCCTCGATGGTCTCGTGGTAGCGTGTTCGCCTCGATTGCGGGAGGTCGTGGGTTCGAACCCGGCAGGGTCAAACCAAAGACTATAAAATTGGTATTACTGCTTCTCCGCTTAGCACGCGGCATTAAGGAGTAAGAGCAAAGACTGGTCGGCTCGGGGTTTGAATAATGTGTCCGGGAAAGGTGACATATCTTCCTGCGGACTGTTACCTTGTGAACTAGCACGTTAAAAAATCCGGCTCAGGGCGTCAGTCTAGTACAAAACCGGGTATATATTCATATTACATTAACATGTTTTCGTCCTGAATATGCATATTAATTTGCCGCTGGACGTCTAGTAGCAATCCATCATCATCCATCATCATCTTATTTAAAGCTTAGAAAATATATGAAACAAAAGTAAATAAAACTAATAATACCAAGGTGAAAAATGTTTAAATATAGATAATTTATCAGGACGATTTGAAATTATACATACACCTTGTATTGTTTTACTTGTCTCTATTTGACAGGCTTTAACACTTCCGCCGTGTCATCTTGGTCACCAAATTTCATATGATTTTTTTTTTATTTAAATTATATAAATAATAACTCAAGAAAGTATTTTAACCATTACTTATTATTCTTTGTCAGCCATGCATGTTTTGTCA